TGTGGTCGTGGTATTGCTAGGGCGAATCGACCCTACAGTGCAAAGATGTTAATGGCTCTACCACTGTTAAGTTTAAAATCTATACTTAATGTAATAAAACGTGCACAATACTTAGTTATGAGTATATTAGAGGAAGTTTGAGAGTAGCCCCAGTGGTAGAGAAGGTAAGAACGTTAGTTATGAGTGAGAGAGTGTGATGATTGTGTGAAAGGTGACATGATCAAGAAGGAAGTGACTAAGATGACGGATGATAGAGTTATGTGGAGGAGGAAATTGCGCCCACACTACGGGAGTAGGATAAGGTAGAATAATGTGCGTCTCATCAATTAAGGGTAGGCAGTGCAATTGCTTTATCCTGGGCTCTGCGTTTTGTCTCTGACAATGACAATGACAGCCCGATTGCGTACACATCGGCCTTTGAACGCCCTTTGTCCCACTTTGGAGACATAACAACAAGAAGAATGCAATTGCGTGGCAGCAATCATTTCGCTATTTCGGCGAATTTAACAATCGAGCTCCGTACTCACCAGTTGAGGACTTTAATCTGTCGCTGTAAGGCCTCGTTGACTTCATCAGCAGCGAACCCTGGAGTCACCTTCACTGGTGCTTCCTCTGTTAAATTACAAATGATCGATATGAAAAAAAACAACATTTTAAGACGTAATTCCATTTTAAAATAATAAAAAAATAATTTCTGTAATTTACTATTTGATTACAATGGTTAAATTTGAAAGTTAATGAATTAACTAGTTTTATAAATTTTAAACATCCAAAAACATTCTCAAAGTTACAACTTTTTTAACAACTAATGAATGTATTACTTGAGATAAGCAACTAACTTGAAATATCTCAAATTAAAACTAACACAAAATTAACACATGACACCATTTAGATACATGCAAAATTAAAATGACAAAATTAGTTTCTCTTTGAAAAGCATTAGCACAGTTAATATAAAAAAAAATTAAAACCGTCAAGTGTCAATATCATTCTGACTGTAACATCAACATAATAAAAACAACACTTTTTTTACTTATTTATATAAATCGTAACTAAAGTAACAGTAGGGCGCCCTGGGCGCCTGAGAGAAAAGGGCGTTATAGGGCAAATAACTCACATAACAATCTTAGCCCTCCCCCTTAGTTATAGTAAAAAGGAGGCTATATAAATCTCACCCAGAGCTATAGTAGAAAACTAACATTATTTAGTTAAAAAAGTTCAACACAAACAGTACATAGGTCTAAATGTAGTCTAATTCCCTTCCCCTTACCTTAAATGGAAAAGATGGGATGTTTTTTTAAACTATACAAAAAAAACTATCGACAATCTATATCTATACATCTATACTAATATTATAAAGAGGAATTATTTGTATTTTTGTATGTATTTGATTCACGCAAAAACTGGGCCGATTTTAAAAATTCTTTCACCATCAGAAAGGTAATTTATCTGTGAATAACGTAGGCTATATTTTATTATTACTAATGTTTAGGAACTATTAATAAACAGCGTGTTTCTGGACGCTGGCGTTAACAATTCACTAAACTCTTCTCAGCTTACGCTGCCTAAACCGTTAGAGGTATATAAAAATGATATATGAAAGAAATGTAGATCTCAAAAAGATCTACAGAAAGGTCCACGGTAGCATATATCTATCTTTAACCGTTTTCTTATAATTACCACATTTTTGTTTACAAAATGAACTAAAAACAAGCTATTATCATGTAGTGTGAAAAACATAATAAAATTATGCTTTCTACAAAAACAAAAAAATGCATTTAAACAAAAAAAAAGCTCTATGGCTCTTGGTTGTACATTCCAATATCCTTTGGCTGAACAGTAATTAAAAAAACATCCATGCAAACGGAAATCTTACGTTGTTCCTCTTTAGGCGCGGCTGGAGTCGTCACAGCTGGACATGTTAATAATATTATTCTCACATTTAAATTAGTAATTTTATTACATTAAAGGCGATTTGGCTACAAAGGAAGAGGAAGACCGAAGAAAGTATGGATGGATTGTGTGAAGGAAGATATGCTTAAGAAAGGAGTGGATTCAGATATGACGGCTGATAGAGATGTATGGAAGAGCAGCACATACTGTGCCGACCCTCCATAAGGGATAAGGGCAAGTGGATGATGATTACATTAAAGGCGATTTAATAATATAGACAATAAGCCATAATCCTGTTTAAATGAGATATTGTGTTTTCATATCTATACTACTACAGTAGAACCTCGATAACTCAAACCTCGGTAACATAAACCTCTATAACTTCAAAAAACAATATGTACCCTTCCCATCAGAACCCAAAAACTCTACAACATAGACCCTTGATAACTTAAAAACCTCTATAACTTAAAATATTTTGTGTTTCCCTTGGACTTTAACTTATCGTGGTTCTACTGTATTACAAAGAATAGGAAGAACGCAAGAAAAATCTAGTTTATAGAACCAAACGATTCATAACGATTTTTTTATTGTTGTTTTATAATTTACTAAAATTTAAACACAAAATCTCATTAACAAAGGTTTTACAACATCTTGAATGCATTAAAATAACCTTAGAAAAAAGAGAAATTTCAATATTATTAAGATTTAATTAAAGTAGGCAGTAAGTGCTAACAAAGGAAGTGGTGAGTTTGGAAGGTGGTGAGAATGGAGGAAGTTGTCAGAATTGGCAGGTGTTGAGAATGGAGGAAGTTGTCAGAATTGGCAGGTGTTGAGAATAGAGGAAGTTGTCAGAATTGGCAGGTGTTGAGAATGGAGGAAGTTGTCATAATTGGCAGGTGTTGAGAATGGAGGAAGTGGTGAGAATTGGAAGGTGTTGAGAATGGAGGAAGTGGTGAGAATTGGAAGTTGTTG